GACTGGTTAGGGATGGAGTGCGGGAGACAGGACAAAGACACGCTGTGGACAAGAGCCTGAGATAAATAATCCTTTCCTTCACTAATGAAAATAAAATGAGGTGAGTGTAGAAGAAACACTCAGAAACGCGCATCATGGGAATCGCTCAGCAGCACATCTAAGGGAGGGTTCAGGGTCACCTGATCCAGCCCTAACTATATGCTTTATCAAAAGCAAAGTTTTAAACCTAATCTTGATAGTAGTACTTTTAAATACATAAGGAACCACAAGTAAACCTGCAATCTGAGAGCAAAGTGCTCTGTTGGGGTGATATGGTACTGTGAGGTCTTTAACATAAGATTATGCCTGATTACTAAAGACCTTGTATGAGAGAAGGATTTCTAAAGCTCAAGCCTCAAGTGGCCATTTGATGAAGTGCAGTTTTTGGCACTTCCAGTTCCTATTCTTAGCACTGATTAAGATAAAGAGTTACCCCGCTGTCCTTCCATCTTTTCCAATTTGTAATCTTCTGATTGCAAAATACTGTGAAAACAAAAAAGTTCAGTATCTTGCCTTTTCTTTCATTCATGCAACATTTCAACAAAAGCTTGGAAAACCCTAAAAGAACATTTGCCAATTTTCTCAGTTGCTGCACTCTGCTGCATAAAGATGACTCAATTCATCTTAAATCAAAATGAAAGTCATCTTCAGTTGTTAGAAATACGCATCCTTTCCTTCAGTTATTGGCTTCAGGCTGTAACACTGGGACGTTTTTAGTCGGAAAAATGGATCCTTAATCTAGGATTTCACAGCATTTGGCGTGTAGAGCTCGCTGCTGGTGCTGCACAGCGTGGCTGCAGCCTCCAATTCTCCAAGTTAGCAGCTGAAGGCAAGAAGTGGATTTTAACCAATTAGATACTGTGATTACCACAAAAGCACATATTGATAATCACCCGTCGGTCCGTCATTGTCGTTCACCAAAAGAAATAGAATCAGCAAACAAATCAGCCTCATTTCAAATCCCAGAGAATGAGCAGAAGTTGCAATCCACAGCTAATCTCTGCAGCACAAACAAAGCTTTTCAGAACACTGCCATTTCATACTTTTTCTTCTCAAGTGCCTCGTTAAGCTGCTGCGCTGTTAGCGTGTTCACATAACATTCCATTCAAAAGTTGCAATTACTCAGACTTCATAGATTTATGAATTGAAACTGTCTCGCCAGACGAGGCGTATTGATTCGCTAGGTGTAAAGAAGAGTGTGTGGCATGCTCTTTGTTTGTTTTTTCTTGCTTTTGTCCATGCCTCTCTCCCTGCCTTTTAGATTTTCTTATGTGCATTTTGCATTTTCACATCTTCCTCTTACTTTATACCCTTTTGTCCAAATTGCAACATTGCCTTTCTTTTGCAGTGCGGTACTATAGATGACAAGGGTCTGAATCAGGGCTTGACAGAGCGCAGTCTGCAGGACGCCCAGCGGCTTTACCTCATGAACGATGTTGTCCAGCCGGAGTCTGTTGATCCACTGGTCATGCAGGATGACGTTCGCTTCTCAAACCTAGTCGTGGACATTGTTCAGGGCATGGACACCCTCTTCCATGTTATGTACATCAGCACAGGTTAGTAGTGAAAGAGGAAAACCAAAACTTTAAGATTGAGGAGGTAGGTTCCTTGCTTTATTTTGTCTGTCTCTTTTAGAGTACGGCACCATCCTGAAAGCACTGGCTACCCCCAACAAGAACCTGCAAGGCTGTTACCTGGAGGAGATGGAGCTCTTCCCATCAGGTGTTCGAGAACCAATCCTGAGCCTGCAGATCCTGCATAGTGACAGGTCACTCTTTGTTGGGCTCAACAACAGAGTCCTGAAGATCCCGCTGGAGAGATGCTCCACCTACAAAACGGAGACGTAAGTACAGCATGCTTGTAAAAGCTCACTCATCCAGGATGGCTTTGTTTTAAACGACAGCATGTGTAAAGAATCTTGCGCCGCTGACGTCAGTGGGGTGAGGGGATTTTGGAAGTCGATTTGCAGATGACTTCAGAGGAATTTGGCTGAGTCTGTTCTCTGCAGCACAAAACAAGTCAATCTGAATTAAAATGTTACAGCTCTGCATGCTTTTGTAACTGTAACATTGTAGCAGTAAAAAAAAGGTGTTGCTTTGTCACATAGTTTGGCATTTCCTTCATTAGAACATCAAAAATAAACACAAAGTTCTTTTTTTTTAATCTATGAATGGGCTGCAGAGAGAGACTCAGCCCATTTTTAGATAAAATACCACACTGTGTGCTCCTTTTTGATGTTTTGATCTCACGAGCCTTGATGTGACAACTGTGTTTATATCAGGGGTGTCCAACTCCACTCCTCGAGAGCTACCGTCCTGCAGCTTTTAGACGAATCCTTGTTCCAACCTACCTGAAATGAATGGCCAAACTTCCCAGCAGACTGGCCAGTCCCAGCAGAAACATCAGGGACTGTGACCTGGACGAGATGGAGCCATTCACTTCCATTTTTTTTTTGTTGTTTTCTATTTTGTTTTGTTTTTTTCTTTTAATTTGTAGTGTACTCGTTGTCATTACAAGAAGTCATCACACAAGTTCTGTTTTGGTCTGTCACAAGATGTGTCTGCATCTGTTAAACTGGTAGCTGATAAGTAGAAGCTTATTGATTGCAAAGAAAA